TACGAAGTGTTAGAAGATCCGTCAGCTATTGTGCTTCCTTCAGTTGATACGGATGTTGTTCTCTCCTCTGTTGATGATGACGGTGTTGTAACATCTGAAGATCTAGAAGATCCGTCAGCTGTTGTGCTTCCTTCAGTTGATAGGTATGTTGTAGCATCTGAAGTGCTGGAAGCTTCGTCGGCTGTTGTGCTCTCTTCTGTTGAGAATGATGGTGATGTAACATCCGAAGTGCTAGAAGATCCGTCAGCTGTTGTACTTCCATCAGTTGATACGGATGTTGTAGCATCAGAGGTACTGGAAGCTTCGTCGACTGTTGTGCTCTCTTCTGTTGATGATGATGGTGTTGTAACATCCGAAGTGCTAGAAGATCCGTCAGCTTTTGTACTTCCTTCAGTTGATACGGATGTTGTAGCATCAGAAGTGCTGTAAGCTTCGTCGACTGTTGTGCTCTCTTCAGTTGATGATGGTGGCGTTGTAATATCTGAAGTGCTGGAAGTTCCGTCAACTGTTGTGCTTCCTTCAGTTGACAGGTATGTTGTGGCATAAGAAGTGCTGGAATCTTCGCCGACTGTTGTGCTCTCTTCAGTTGATGATGGCGGTGTTGTAATATCTGAAGTGCTGGAAGTTCCGTCAACTGTTGTGCTTCCTTCAGTTGACAGGTATGTTGTAGCATAAGAAGTGCTGGACGCTTCGTCGACTGTTGTGCTCTCTTGAGTCGATGATGATGGTGTTGTAACATCTGAAGTGCTAGAAGATCCGTCAGCTGTTGTGCTCTCTTCAGTTGATATGTTTGTTGTAGCATCGGAAGTGCTGGAAGCGTCGTCGACTGTTGATGATGATGGTGTTGTAACATCCGAAGTGCTGGAAGATCCGTCGGCTGTTGTGCTTCCTTCAGTTGATACGGACGTTGTGCTCTCTTCTGTTGATGATGACGGTGTTGTAACATCTGAAGATCTAGAAGATCCGTCAGCTGTTGTGCTTCCTTCAGTTGATACGGATGTT